AGTCCAACTTTTAAAAAGTAATCATCAGAAAAGGAGGAATTGCTGCTCACTTCATTTCACCTTCCTCACGGAGTTTGATGACCTGGAATTTCATTTTCAAGCAAGCTTCTTCTATGTTCAAGTTCCTTTTACTTATTTGTTGTACTGGGAGCTCAACAACTCCAACTTAACCGCCGCAGCTTACTGTGTAATGTAGATCGAGTAATAATTCAATATCCATTGATATCCCAATTTCTCATCATAAAAAAAGACATATCACAAATAAATTCATCTTCGAGTGTAATACTAGAGCAATTAAAAAGAGTCCAGTCTATTAAAATGGGAAAATATTCGATGACAGACAAAAGCCATACCTTACAGCAGAGATACAAGTCACGCCTGTTGGAACAAGTCATCCATATTCTACATCAGATGAATAATGCATGAAAGTGCAGATTGATACCAAGGCAGACGAGATTTTTGGAAAGGGCAATAATCTGATTAAGCCTGCGCTCTCGACTTAAAGGCTCAATCTCAAGCTGATTTTCAAATGTAGTATCTCTTAGCCTGGTACTATTCCGGCCCCACATTGTGAGAGGAACATAGAAGACAAATCAACGTGAATAAAGTTTTTGATTTAGTAAACCACTCAGAAATTGAAATTGTGGATATCAGCTACTAAAGAAGTATCCTAATGGGAAAAAGGCAATTCTGCACGGAATTATTTCTCTTTCAACACCCACATAGACCAGAAAGTTACCCCACCTAACCTGAAAACCTTCAAGATGTTGATTATGAATCTTCAATATTTATATGAAATGTTTCAACACTGCTTCTGGATTCTCAAGCCTCAATTGAAAAAAGCATCGCGAGCACAAAAACGACTGCAAGGGACATGCAGTATTATTTGACAAGGAAAGAAACCATTTTTTAATCGGAGAGACAGGTGGAAGCCTGCCATCATTTTTAATCACGTAAACTACCATCTACTACTATTTATTATGTCATCAGAGTCTCTTCAACAACAAGGTATGAAACAATACACAGGTAAATCTTCGACACCTGGATGTTTATTTCAATAATGCTCCTTATTCACATGGTTTTACACAAGCTGAGAGAAAAAGAGGATATCCACAAGGACTAGAATATTTGATACACCAGAGGGACATCAAGTCAAGGAAATTTACCCACTTCCACAAGTGCACGACAGGACGACAATACGTCCAATAACATGAAAGGTGATAACCAAAACAGGTTAAGAACCTCTGATTTTGATGCTGTAGTTGAGCTTTTGCATTTTGAACAGCGAACTTTTCATGTCCCAACAACGCTACGCTTATTCACTGGAGACTGTTCCAATCCGCACCGTGAGAGATCTCGAGCCACTGGAGATTTTCCGGCTCGCACTCGATCAAATTCTTTCGCAAGCATTGGATGGTTCTGGTTCACGCAAGCAGTCAATATTGTCAAAGTGCACAGTAGTGATAACCTCCCAGTATTGATAGTTCCAATTGCAAAATGAGGCACTCCAGCTGACAGAAAAAAAATTGATATAAATATCAAGCTGATACGATGTAACAACAAACTCGTAGCTAAGGTCAAACATGTTAGTGACAAAGCCAGAAACAGCCAAATGCAGTGGACCACAATATGCAGCCCTCCCATACCCAGAGCTTCCATAATTTCAATGCACATTAGCAAGCGATTCTCACCCAACGGCAGATCATTCTCAAACGAACAGCATCCGAGCTCAAAAATAAAACTTCGACTAACTCCACAAAACAATCACAGAACCTTCACTCTCCCCAGCACCCCCCCCCCCCCAAACCCTACGAAAATTACCGATGTTCCTTCCTCGCCCAAATTCGCCATTTCGAGTATTCAAACAAAGCATTTTTTTAGCCACCGTATTTGCAGATTGATGGGAAACACGGGCGGATGACCAGCAAGACGGTCAAACAAGTTTTCCAGAGCCCAACCGTCACTTCCGCCTTCACCTGAGGATCTGCATGGTTGTGAACAACACACGGCATCGCTTCCGCGCTCTCCACAACATTCCCGTTCCGCCATTGGCTTGCTCAATATCGTTCGCACCTGGCGCTACGTGAACCACCAACACGTCGAGGATCCCCATGACTCCTCTGACCTAAAATCCCCCCCCCCCCACACACACACCACGATGTAAATTGCCACAGCTCGGCTTCAACATGCAGACCCGCGCGCTCACGTTATCGCATGCTCCGCGCTGTTCGATAAAAAAACAGTTGTTAACCCGTCTCGAAATTCCACTCGTTTATACTTCCGATCTCGATAATTTGGCAACGGCTGGCATTGTGAAGACGGCGTTGCGTGGATTTCATGAGCTTCACTGAAAGCTCTTCATGGAGCTTCTTCGGAAGAAGAGGCACGGCGCGGACGATGGATGAATGAACGTATTAATAAATGAACATATGGATGAATGTATGCAATTGTGTGGATGAACATTTGGATGGATGTGTTCTTGGTGTCTTCATTCGCCCATCGTCGTGCTCACGTTATTCATTCATTTGTCTTGTCAAAAAAACTGAAAACGAAGCCTGTACGAAACTTCCTCCTTTTTAAAAAACAAATTCCCCTTGGTTACAATATCATTTTTTATTTTTTTTTTTTAAATCGGTATCTAAAAGAAAACATGGGCTTTGAGATGGTCTGTGAATATTGTTTTACAAAAGTGGTGTTACATTTTCAAAGCTATTTGTATTAAAGGAGACTAGGGTTGCTTGGTCAAAACCATATGTAAGGTTGTCAGCATGTTTGCATGGGTGAGAAAATTGTCCATTTGATTTGTTCATCATGGTGGGATTATGTTTGTCTAATTATAATTAAAACATTAATAGTGTTTTAAAGAGTAAATTCTAAGTTGTGAGGGGAGAGAGAGATGGGGGCAACTATAAATGGCACCCAAGATTAAGGACCAATTACTAGAAATGAACATGGAGGGTATTGATAAGGTGGGGTGCTAATCTTCAAAATGCTATAACTTGTTCAAATCTTATCCAAATCAGTCATATGTGGTACTCTTTTTGTATTTTTTATTCTCTATGGATGCCAAAAAAAAATTAAAAAAACATCTCACACATGCAATGTGGATAATATTTGATTTATTTATAGCCTTGTAAAGATTGGCACCACTCCTTGTCAGTACCCCTTTTTGTTAGCACCCTCTGTGGATGCCTTTTACCACAAGTTGGACATGTACCCATTGCCACATCAAATATATATATATATATATATATATATGACCAGTTAACTTTGTAAGGTGTAAATAAATAGAAAATATTATTTTAACTTTTTATTCCATGATAATGTTTTATATTTGTCCATCCATGCTTCATTGTGCCTAGATACATCCTGTAATAAATGATTTACAAACACAATTATTAGAACAGTATGTGGTCATTTTTTTATATTTGTTTGGTAAATTTCTAGATAAATATTCTTAACTGATTTTAAAATCCCGATACTAAAAATAGTTTTGAACGTAGATTTTTTATATATAATTTAAATCTCATTGTCATAATTAATTAGAAATTCAATTTACACTTTCATTCTTCAAAAGACCACAAATTTTATCTGTAATCCAAATTCATAACACAAGAAAAAAACACTTTTGTCACCTATCACTGCAACAATGTCAACATTCTTTAAAAAATCAACAAGAAATCACAAAGTCATGTCTATTTAATCTGATCATTTTGAGATCATTATTACGTGATTTTTTCATTGATTACTACAGCATCAGATACATGAGCTTTTAATAGGCCATCTTTTCTTGCATAGTCATTTGCAATATATAACCCCACACAATTTAAAAAATAAAATCAGCAAATTATGTTTCCATCAATATTAATACTGGCACTTCATGCAAATGCATATATGTATGCATATATATATGCAAGGAAAATATTGAGGTACTACATTAAGTTAGAAAATGTTTTGGAAGTATCAAGTTTAATATGAATTAAAAGAGCTGTTGGTAAGATTCCGGATGATGTATATATACGTACGTATGTATGTTACAATAACAATCTTGTGATCAAATCATATATTTTTTATTTTAATTTTAACGATTTCATAAAAATTCCATTTATAGGCGACCAAGTTTGTCTAAATCCACCCGCTTCAAAAATTCCTTAAACTAATCCATTGCCAACGAACAAATCTCGAAGTGGCGTCGTTTCCCATGCCAGCCCACGTCAGCATGTGAAACCCCCCCCCACAAGCAACGGAGCCTATCCCAAATGCCACATCATCCAATGGATTCAGCCCACACCTGCCCCGTCAGCATCGATCCCCATCACCGAGCACGAAAGCGTGGGGAGCCACGGTCTCCGACGTTGGACCACGAGAGGGCATGGTCATAGGGAGTGTGTCCTACCACCGCCGATGCCGGGAACCGCTAACTTCCCGGTTTCCGGTAACTTTCCGGTTGTCGGTAACCGGGAAGTTCCCTCCCGGATAGAGAGGATAAGCATGGGCTGTAGGGAAACCCAAAAAATAATGGTCCCAATGGACGTAAGCACAATCATGCCTTTGACCGACCCCACCCTTCTTACACGCTTGGATGTTATTGGATCTTGTGTAACATGTGCCATCCTCCTATTCGTCCTAACATGTTTTTTTTTTTAGTACTTTCATACTTGGGTATCCACCAGTTACTTTGCAGATTAATACTGTTTCTGCAGCTGGTTGTGGATATAGTCCCAACTTGAAGTCTTCAGATGTTTGTCATGACATGAAGTGGAGGGACTTCTGTGTGGGATTTTCAGTTGGGAATGTCTGGTTGGTGCTTTTGTACGTTTTTTGATTAACGATAGGGCATTTGGTTGGGTTGTGGAGTCAGATATGAAGTGAATACCAAGACTAAACAATGTCGGATTTTAACCCTCAGATTGATGGCGAAGTTCAAGACAGAGGGGAGGAACAAAAAGGAGAGGTGTCATAGCAGATAAAAAGAAGCAAGACTGTGACAGGGAGTCGGATTGAAGAAAATCCTGCTTTGTATTTTATTACAACGATGATCCACACAAAAATGTCAATGTATATTACAAAGTATGACGAGATGGAGACGATGGAAAACAATCGGTGGTCTTTCATCAACATCGGTTGCATCCACCTCCTCTTACACTTGATCGAATATCGCGGGTTCCACCATGCAGGGTCCCATTGTGTATAAAATAAAAACTCAATGTGTAAAAACAATCCATGTAGATTGGGCTCCCACAGCAAAGTTTAGTCCATGGGTAAATCAGGCCCTTATGGGCTCCCTCCAAGCCGTGCCTGCCTCGTGCAGTCGCCGAATAGATATCTTCCGAAAGGTCTGATACTTCATCTGATCCCTGCTCAGCTTCAGTTCTGCCGAATACCCAGTCTCCATACCACCACTGCTTGAAGGTGCCGATTAAATCCGGATAGGCAGAAGCCTATCTAACTCGTAAAGCATTCGGGCACACAGCTGTGTGCTAGATCGAAAAGATCCCAAATCAAAGTCCCCTTTCCCAACACCAAACTATCATCTGTCAGTCATACTTTTTGGCAGTTACTAAATCCTCAGTTCATTATGAACTCATCTCCACAGGTAGGAGGGACAAGCCACTCTTTATGTATCGTGGCGTTTGAAAAGTCGCGCCCAGATAACTATGTTATCACCACAAGAGATCTCAAGTTTTCAACTCTGGGAGCCAGGATGAGGCAGCTCGTTAGATCATCCCAATATGTGATGCATTTCTCCAACTCATGTCGGAATCATTTGCAGAACTACTTCAAATAGTTCCACAGCAACCAACCGATCGCAGCAGGATCCTCTACCCTAAACAGAACACGATGCCGTCTGCTTCATGTGCAGCGTGACAATGTCTTGGAGATGTACAAGTATGTTGAATGTCCTGTTCCAATTCCCAATGGCAAACAATGTAATCTTCCGAGCCAGCCCATGGAACGATGACCCCTTAAGGATGTTCAATCGTGGCACATATTTCCATGTGGAGAACCTTGGACATAGCAAAACGAACAAAAAATCACTTCTTTGAGCTTGATTCAAGGTCTCACAAAGACTTGTCGTCGTAGTGGCGGAGATCTACCGCTAGCATGCAGATCAGTAAGGGAGAATGACCGAGATGGAGTAGCCCTGGATATCCACGAGGAACTTGGGGGTGCTGCCATCAACTGCTCGTAATGCTGCTCCTGCTGTTCATTCTGCTCTTCCTGCTCAAGAATCACCGCCACAGCTAGCGAGTTCCTGCTGCTATTGCTGGGTAGTTTCTTCCCAATACTGGAAACTGAAGAGCGGGTCGGAGGTGGATACGACCTGTGACGATCCACTGGACAGTTGAAGCCCATCTTCCGTCGCTTGATGTATGCGTAAGGATTATTGGGTTTCGCCAAGTCCTTAGCAGAGGATACGTCGGCTAGCGAAGAAAAAGAACGCGACTTGCCACCGAAGAACTTCGACAAGCCAGGTCTCCTGCAAGATTGAAACAGAAATAAGCGACAATCATTCATGTATATCAACTCTCTAAACTCTTCAACCAGACTAAATGGATACAAAGTATGTGGAGATTGATATCAAATCTTGTGTTATAACCATGCCACACATACAACATGAATACGCCTCTTGTATCATCGAAATAAAAACATGGATTATCATGTCGTGAAGATGCTTACTTGATAGGAAGAGACTCGTCTAAAGCTGCCAGAGATGATTGCAATGGGCCACGATATGCAGACTGCGCCTCTTCACCTCCAATATCCTCTGATGTGCATGCGCTGCTATCTTCACTTGCTTGACAGATCGAAGAAGAGGACTCTGAAGAGTTTATTGGCTGATCATCGGCAATAGGCGGGCAATACGCATATGATCCATTCAGATATCCATTACCCAGTGGAACCACGCGTTCTATAACCCCAGGTTTGGTACTCGGGGCCTTCGATCTCAGGTCTCGACAACCGATGTGTGCCCCAACAGATTTAGGCATACCGTCAACAGGACTCCCAGAAATCCCATCAAACCTCCTGCTCTGCGCTTCACATGGACCATCAGTGGGAGTCACAGCTCCATCAGCAGAAGTCACAGTACCATCAGCAGAAGTCACAGCACCATCAGTGGAAGTCACAGCACCATCAGATAGGCTAGCCTTCTCCTCAGATTCGGTGCTAACGGAGCTGGTGGCCACATGTGCCTCAGACATTGCCGGAACCTCGCATGAGGTATAAGCTCCGGCCTCTGAGGAAAGATTGCAAGCCTTCGGGAATGAAGCGGAGGATGGGAATTGGCTGATCGGAGGTGAAGCAAACCGAACAGTAGCTATGGCTGATACATCCCTCGGATGTGCGGCAAGGGACTGGCCCTTAGGATCGTTCTGAGATTGCAGATACATCGCAAAATGAGGGTAAGCACTCTCGTGAGAAGAGTTTGGTGGACGCCGCAATGTCGACCCATCATTTACGCACTGGGGCGCAACGAGGCCATTAGTTTGACCATGCGCGAGCTTGTAACCCATATTAGGTCCACTCACCTCCCAGCATTGATACCTGATGGACATCCTCGACATTAAAAGGAAAGTGCGTGACAAGAGATTTTTCTAAAAGGTGTTAGAGAGAATAAGGCAGGCCACTAATCGAAAATAAACAGCTGCAACTGACGTTGTAAGATACCAAGAGAGATCTTTTGTTTCCGCTGTCTAGGGTGAACGTGCTGACAAATAGCTTGATAGTTGACACGGCCGCCGTTAGAAAACGACTGACTAAAAGTAGCGAAGGTACGAACTCTGGACTTCATCAAACACCGGGGACTCTTTCTTCCATAGCCGTCCTTACGGCGGGTGTTAGAGCATCCGCTACACTCTGCAAAAGCGTCACCTGCGTGGGGCATCCGCGTCTGACAGAACGAACCTAGTGAAGGGCAGGTCCTGCTCTTCTTAGTCGTTGCTCTACCAGTCTCTACCTCCTTAACATTCACCGCTTCCCTTTGATGACTCTCCTCCAAATCCAACCTCGATCCTCAGAAAATCAAGAATATCGCGAGTGAGGATACAGCTCCCCTAACCCTGTTCTCCTTTACACCAACATTTCGCAACCCTCGAATTCTGCAGTAACTCAATTGAAGAGTTCTGTAGTCTTTCCCGCCTGCCAGCTTTCAAGAAATCAAGCCCCAGAAAGTGCGTACCATCCCCAAAAATTAATGCAACCCTCCTGCAGGCCAAAGTTCGAATACGATATTGTACTCGAATGTTGCACCAACTGGAAGTTCCCGAGACTATTAAACTGCGAAACGGGATTATATAACCCAGAAGTTCCTCCAACGCCCGCCGGCGACACAAACCGCATTACTCTTCGAAACAGGTCACGTCATCAGAAATCGCTCTGCGCACTCACAGTCCTAGCACCCACCGCAGAAATTTCCTTGCCGCGCAACCGCAACACCTATCACTCGCTCCACTTCACCAACCCCACCAAAAAGAAAATTCTCCAGCGATTTCGAAATCGTCACACCAACAAACCACTACCGCTCCGCTCGGTTTAAATCCCACACTTCGCCCCTCGACACCCTCTCACGCAACCAGGAGCAGGATGAGTACGCAACAACCCTCACACACCTCTCCAAGACAAGATCACTCCCTCTCTCTCACTTATCAAGAGACAACAACACCAAGGACACACTGCATGAAACAGTCGCAATCGCGACGCAAACAGCCAACCCTGCCTTGCAAATTCTGCTTTGCTTGGTCGTTTTCAAAAACACGGATGAACTTGCTCAACTCACAAGTGGCGATGAAACTCACAGACGCTCTTTAACGCTCTGATCTCGCAACATGATCTGCAGCTCCAAGGACGAGGTGGAAGCTATCTAAAAGGTGGGTAGTGCCAGGCTGACGAGGCGGCGTGCTAATCTGCAGGAGGGGGGGGGGTTGCGGGTGTCTGACAGGTTGGGCAGCGACATCGGTGGGCACGAACCAGATGAGGGCGGGCTATCGAAGCTGAAGGGAAGCACCTAGCTAACGCCGCGATTCGATGGGGACGATGACGACGAAGTGGACGAGGACGAGGACGAGGCGGCTGTGATGAGGATGAGCGCAAGCAGCAGCCAGCATCATCATCGTGGTGATGAGGATGAGTCGGAGTGAAATCATGAGCTCACCCCCCCTCCTTCCTCGCTGCACATGAATCCCACTTCTTTACCGCACCCCCATTGGTTGCGTAACTTCGCCACCTCTCCGACATGGCTCTCGACATGACAGACTCAAGGACTCCTCCTGCTGCCGTTTCCACACCCCATTCGCACACCGTGGCGCCTCCCCGCGCTCGCTCTCTGGCTGTGTGAGTGAGCTCCCCGTCCCACTCACAACCGCCGCCGACGGTACTCGGCGTCCGTAGGCGGCGCGGCGCGGTACTTCATCGCGATGACCGAATGGCTTCATCCACGTTTCTATCCATCCATCCAGATTATAAGACATTTCCCCTTGGTTGCTTTCCATTGTCATCACTTCAACTCATTTTCTTGTTCAACTTTGGCAACTTTGGTGAGTTAAAAGTGTGTATTTTTTATTTCTTGTGAAATTTCTAGATAACGTCCATTGTTGTAATTGTACTTAAAGGATGATGAGTTTAGTTTGAATTATAAACTATCACTTTAATTTTCTTTTGTTTTTCATCTGATTTTTTTTTTTCTTTTTTTTACAAAGCAATACTAAGAATCATACACTAATATTTGTTGACGTTTCAAATTTTATGTTTGGTTTCAGATACAGTATTATGATATAATATCGTTGTATGATTACATAGAGCTTTAAAATATTTACTGACTTCATCCTTACATAAATATAGTGCTTAAAAGTGTGTGTTTTTCTAATAAGCCTTATTGGTGTTATCCTTATCTTACAAGCACGTTATCCTTTCAATGCTTTTATTCCTCCATCATCTAATGTATTTAACATAATCCTATTGTCATTGACTCAATTCCTAGAATGCATTCTCATGGAAAAATACACTAATAAACCAGAATTGCATTGGTTTGATTGCATGACCAACCCCAGCACCTCACCACTACAGAAGAATTCTCACAGCAAAGATTGTCAACACTCTTCATGTCATTGCAAAGGTATTCAAAGTGATATGTTTATTGATTGATTTCATGATAATATTAACAAGTATAATTATTTTTGTGTTGTACAAAGTCTCATAGTATTTCTCCTTTCTTTTGTTATTAAAAATAAATAGATGAATGTAAATAATTTATAATAGTGGATTGTCTTAGGTTTTTAATGTTCTGTTGAATTCTTCAAGAACATTACATTTTAACGGTTATGATATTTCTTCAAGATCATGTACTTATCTTGAAATAAAAATACAAAACAAATATGTTGAGGTTTCCTTTATTACATTCATTATTAGAATTAGATGAATTCCATTGCATGGGGGTTCTGTGACACCTTAAATGCCACTTAAAAGTTTCATTTCTTTGTTTGATATCGTAGTACTTTGTAAACGTGTGGAACAATTAATTATAATTATTTGGATTGACTTATTAAGTTTTCCTAGGTTAAGTGCACTTATCAAGTAGTTACATTTTTATTAAACTTCGTTGCACATCTATCATCATCATAATTTATTTATTTTTGTTTTATTACACCAATAAATCATTTGGTTACAAAATTATATTTGTTCTTGCTACCATTTGTTCATCAATTTGCCTCCATAAAAACACTGTTGCCATGTTCATCTGTCAAGCATTCACCAGCATACGATTTTTTCACATATGTTGTTTACATTCTATGCACATGTTTTCTTTCACTTTAGTGTACTCATCAACAACGTGGGAAATCATTGAACTCCATTGCAAGTTTCAGTCATCTAAAAAATGCAGAAAAAACTTTTGAAGTGAATAGCTGTGTCCATCAAATATGATATAGTAATTATCCTCGTATACTTTCAGAAACGTAAAAAAAAAGAAAAACGGTTAATAGTGTCCAACAAACACCTTTTACATTGGAAACAGTATTTCAATATTTTTTTAATTGTGTGTGTAAAGATTCTCATGGTTTCATTACAGGGACCCAATGTGGGTTACGGGGTTTGCAGATATTTATGAAGAAAAAAATGTTCCTGTCTGGGCACGAGGATGAAGCATATGCGAAAGATGGCATCTTTTAGGGATTTAGGGTGAATTAGGTCGAAATTCACAAAGTAAAAAAGCTGAAACTAGATACTGTACACAGTATCCCCCACTTGAATAACAGTATTTTGTCCAATACTTTTCTAAAATCAGTAGTATGGATTGCGTGACCATTTGAATCAATCAATCTATTTATGCAGCTCAATACAAACCTTTGCCTCTGCTTTCTCTTGAGCTTGAAAATATTTGCATGGATAAGAACAAAGAACTGAAAGGTTACTTACTGTCAAGCTTACGAAACTGTAGTTCCTGTTACCATGCCTTAAATGCACAATGTGTCTGTACATGAAAATGATAATAAGAGAATTAAATAATAGAAAAAAGTGAAGTCCTTCAGAAGTCTCACTTGAAGTTGTGGGTAGCAGGCACTCTTGGTTCTGAGCCCAAAACTTTGACTCACGTTCACAAATTGGGTGCAAAAGTCTGCACATGAGAAGGCGTGGAACTCCCCACCAGTTCAAAGAGCGTTGGATACCCTAAAGCCAAGCATCCAGAAGGCTCCGAGGATGGATGAATCCATGACTCATTCACCCTTTCGCGCTCATTCATCCTTCGGTGAGTCACGAGGCTTGAAACGCGGAGGTGTGCGTGTGTTGAATCCTCCGCCGTGCATTCGATAGGTTATTTTGCGCTTGCCGCAAACTTGCTCCTATGAAACAATTGCTCTGCACAGTTGGGTGTCGGCTTGTCATATGGGTGGCGTCAGATTAGAGATAAAAGATGGGAGGAAAACAAATTTTAAAAAAATAAGGTATGCGTGGCCCACACGTAGATCGGGGGACCAAGGGGGAAAGTCGAGGTTGAGGGTTGAGTCGCGCACTTCGGCGACTGCGGCAGCCTGCGTTCGGGAGGTGAATCTGGAGAGAGGGGAGCTGTCGTGTATTCTGATATTTTCTACCATGCTTGATTGAGTTGCTGCGACGGAGATTGTTTTGACGATCGTGCTCGGTCTGGATTCGTGTGCGGTTTGGAATGCGGGGGAAGCCTTGCTGGTCTGAACAAACCGACTCCGTGTATCACAGCTGTTATGGATGTGTATTTCTGGACGCAGCATTGTAGTGCAGGGTCAAAACTTGCGCACATCCACTGTTGTCGTGGGCGGAATGTGCAATTATCTGCATTTCAATGCGGATAATTTGTTCTTTAGACTTTTGCACTTTAGGTGCGAGATAATGGCAGGTTGGAAATGGATATTCGCAACCATCTAGCATGTGTTCTAGTATTTGTGCTCCCCTGTGCCGCAGAGGAGAAGTAGGTTTGCATACAACTGGCGTTGCCGAATAGCTATACTCTAAGCTGCGTGCATTCTGCACATGCGTGGCAAATGCGTATGTAACTCTTGATGTAATATAAATTTGACTTAAAGGTTCCTGGAATGAGTTTCCCATTCTTTACACGTCGCGTCCGCAATGACTTTTGCGTTGAAATTGTGTTCTATTGTTTTTCATCTCCCTTTCGTAACTTCACGTAACTTTGTGCGTAGGTAAGAGCGGTTTCGTGCACATCCACATCTGAGCGAACTGGATTTACTGCCCGCATTCCGTCATGGGAGTGTTACAGTGATCAATTTTGATTATCATTCCAGAACTGGTCGTAGTCGACTGCAGGACGTCTGCAACTCCTGACAACCAATTTGTAATGAAGAAAAAAATCATGGGTATAATGTATCAGCACGCAATCGACTTGTAGATCTGTCGATTCTGCTCCCTCAATTGCGTAATTCACTGCAGACCGCTGGGTACCGAGCTCTTCGGTCACTTAACATCTCCTACTCCAGTTAGTAAATCAACCTTTCAGAGATTTGCGAAATTAGCAAATTTGAAAAAGCGTCCTACACAACAAAAAGGAAAAGCAGAAAGTGATTAGGTCAGATAGCTCCTCCACACATGCTCGTCAAAGCAACGGGTGTGCTGGCAAGAACAGCAGGAAGAACCTCGGTGGAAAGCGAGCCGAATTCGCCATGTCCACTTCAGAAAATTAGGTCTGAAGCTATCGACAGGAGAAGAAAAAGCAGAAAAAGAGAAATAAACTCTTGTCGCCAAACGCAGTAATAGAGACTTTTCTTCCTTTTCTAAAATCCGTTGATCTATATTAAGATTTTACACTTTTGCAGCATCAGACCGCGCACGAGATCAGTATATCCAAGAAGGAGGCTTCTCTTCTTTTTTAAGCATTCGACATATCCATTGGGATCCTTCCTGAGTAACCGACTTTCTAAACTCAACCACTAGGAAGGATTATTTATGTTGGAAATGTGTTATGTTCCAAGGTACATTGTGTCTTATTCCCTATTCTAATCAGAATCGTGGCCTTCGTGTTCTTTGATTCACCGCATTCTAATTTTTTATAATGTGGTAATTCGATCACCTTTGACATCACTGCATTTCCTTCAACATCCACAGGATTCAAGTGAGATATACGTTTGCAAGCATCTCCCACTGGAGCTGAGTTCCGCACCCCAAATTCAAGTCAGCATCCAAGTCTTCAAGCAATAGACATCGAAAAGAGACCTCATATTGAATTGGTCACATGGATCCCAACCTAGTTGGTGAGCAAACCTACCATGGGAGTTATTTAATGCCAACTTCAAATAGAACCAAACCGTATGTTTTTTTTTTTTTTAATTTATTATCAATTTAATAGCCATTTGAGTGCAGAGAAAGAAATGATCATTGGGGGCAGTGACGGCTACGGATAAGAACCCCACCCCCCATACAGTAACAACGAATAATATCAAGCTCTTTCTTAATGATGAGTTAAGTCAAACTAGTCCTGCAATACTAATGGCTCTTGTGCTCAGGCACAGCCTTTCGGACCAAGGCTTTCTAAGGGCCGAGTGATCACCCTGGATTCAATGACCCAGCCTGGCCCTAATCCACTTAACAACGCCGTCACGTGGGCCACAATACAACATTCGCTGGGAAATATCCACGTGGAAGCCAGCGTGGCGGAGCAGGAAAAGCATGAGGGGTGTAGCCAAAAAAGAGTGGATCATGGAGTAGATGGAAGGGATACTTCGTACAAATACACCAAGTGGATAAAGAGCCCTATCCAGCAACTACCTCTGCCACATAGGACGCGCCAGAAATATCCATTGGGAAACGCAATCCATGCTTCCAATGAGGATCCGGTGATGTGGCACGCTTGATCCAGGACCCATGCCAATCCTCCCACCGCCGCGAAAGCTAAAACCTGGACTTTCTTTGGCGGGAGAGTTCGGGTCCCCTCTTGGTCCAGCTGCGCCCTTTCCATGTCAGCACGTTCTGACTGCATGCAATGGTTGAGCTGGCATTCTGATCTGGCAGGTGCGTCTCACCCGGCCCTGAAGCTGTGCAGGTGCTGGTTGGAGACCACATCCACAACATTAGGAGGGGGGCTTCCTTTTTCTGTGATCATTGTGGGAAGAAAAAAGGCATTTGTTGAAGAAGCAATGTCTCCATGTTTTTTTGTACTGCTTGTTTTATTTCTCTTCATTGCGTCATTAGTTGGTCAGAGCTACACTCTGTTGGAGGCACCCTCATCATGGCTTCTTCTTGTAACTTATAAGAGGGAGATCAGATTTTTCTAATATAATTGAACCATGACAGCAAGAGCACTTGGTTGAGGAAGGCCCGGATCTGATTTCCCTTCAAGACTTATCGCACTACCATGTTTTTTCAATTAGCTGGACCTCACTTAAATTTTGAAGCTCTGAGCTTATGCTTTCATTCTCAATCCCATTCCCATTCCCATTCATTCATCCACCTGTCCTCCCCTTATCTTCACTGTCTCTTCCATCTTCCCAATGCAGGCACCTAGATATTTTTTGAGTTCTCTACGTGATTACGTCAACTCAAAACAAGCCTGATTCACTGGATCATAGTACCCTTTTTATTCATACCTTTGTTTTTTCTGCATGTCCATTGCTCGCCACAATCCCTAATTCCTCAACACATGCCATCCCCCCATCCTCCCTCTAAAAGCCGTGTCCCAATTGGTGTTCCCCAAGCGTGAAATTGTCTCTCCCTCCAACCACTTCCAAGGAATCCTTTGCCACACACTAGAAACATGATATGCACATATATATATATATATATATATATATATATATTATACACACACTTGCACATACAAAACACATTATTGCTTCTTTCCCACAAGTTATCATTTGCAAAAAAAAGAATATTCATGTGTTCCAAAATACAAGTATTATTATTGTAACAAAGTGAGCGAAATGTTTTAGTGGGAGTTGGGAGGCGATGCCATGCTTTTGGCACATGGGATGTGGATTTTTGTCCACCTCTTTTGGCCAAACCCATCACCCCATTATATCCACACGCACAAACACCCAGACAGGGACTCCGCGTGGACTCGTTCCTTTCCGCCCAATTACCACCCATCCTCGTGGCACATCTCACGGTCGGACAAACAAACCCTCATAGGCCCCCCGACGTGCCCTTGTGGCACTCGCTTTGAAGGCGGAATCCGATTCCATCCCAGAAATTTCATCCATGACGAAGGAGCTCATGGATGAAAACCTAATTTTTATATCACTCCCAATCGATTTAACATATATTATTTTAGTACAAAACCCTATTCATGACTATCCACCAAACTACCCATGCCAGCCAAGTCAGATGCTCGTGTTATAATCAACGGTTGCGAAGGACTGGTTCATAAAAACCCACTACAATTCATTAATGAATTTAAAAATCTTCAGACAGTTTTCGATGGAAATGACTGAGGAAAACCCTAATTGAGATAGAAAAACCCTAATTTTTTTTTGCCGTAGTGGGGAGAGAGAGCCTGTGTGCACGCCACGAACTCTTCTTCCCATACGACCTGTGTTGGTTTCTCGCTGCCAAGGTTTACCCTAATTTGTCTGAGCTATCCCAGGCGGTGGACAAGATCGGGTCGGAGGAATGGATTTCATGGAAGTAGCAATCAGCGGAAGGCGAGATTGGCTTCGGTCGACGTAGCTGCTGCTGATGTGAGTGGCCACGCCGACCCGAGTTAACAACTAGGGTATCATCGCCCGATTATGCTTTCCTCCATCAGTGGACCACTTTTGTTATCCTCCACACCGGACAAATCCAGCAGATTTGGGGTGCAGATTTCGAACTGCAAAAATCAACCACCTCAGCGTGCTGCGAGGGTATGGGAAATCAGACATGAGTAAATGCTCTGACGTTTTCATTTATGGCAGGCGTGAAAATGGGGCCCGGTCGCGGGTTACACACGGCATGCACTGGGCCTAGGGCTGCTTCTTTTCTTCCTTATCCAGAATCCAGGATCCGTATGGGCCACAATGGAAGAAACGGGTGGGAGGTTGGGTTGACTACCTGAAATTAGTTTGTGTCACGAACCAATTAATTGTTAAGACCCATTCAATCCACCTGTCAGTTAAGGAGTCCTGGCTTCAATGCGAACTCATGCCGGTTGCCAGAACACGCAGTTTGTGTCGTTGGTAGATTCTTCCTGCTGGAGCTCCAGAAATTGATTTGAGACGTGGGTTCTAGGTACTTGCGGCGTTGAACGGTGTTGCGCTGGATTGCTGCGAAGAAAACGAGTTCATCGTTTGACATTGTTGTGACAATCCATTGACCCAAAAAGAACAACAGAAAATACAAAAGGTGGTTGAGGTCGCATGGAAATTAGTGTTTCCCTCATTCTGACTCGTTCTGAAAGTGTTGATCTTCGGACAAACAGATTTAGGGTTCAAAATTCAGTGAATGTGAAATACCAAGTCCAGGAGCAAAGGTTGTTTGTTTGTGTGTACTCATGTACGAAAATGAATGCTTTGTCGTAATTTTAATATTTACATTTTTCTTGCTAAAATCCAGGTAATTGTTGATGCTAGTTGTAAGACATGGTGTATAATTTATTGCATGGAATGAAATGGAAATTGATGTTTTTTTTTGCATTTGTAAATACTTTCACAATAGTTTTTTTGATACATATATATATATATATATATATATATATATATATAACAATTTAATGATTTGATATAATATTAAAACTGGTGTATGCTCTATAAAGCTACCCCATCTTGACATCTTTAAAGTCACAGTGGTTTGATTCATTTCAGATGTATTTTTTTTATTTTTATTTTTTGAACAATTTATCATGTATAATGCAGCAGAAAGAGATATCATTACACAGAAAGTATGTATACATACATATGCATACACACACATGCTCCATGTATTCTATACTTCATTAAAATAAATTTTATTATTGTGTAATATATATATATATATATATATATACATACAATACCTACAAATAGTCTTTTCAAAAGAGTAATAATATCAAATTGCTATCAACATTTAACAAATATTAGTAAACTTTGTTGTAAGCACATAAAGTTAAACAGTATCTAAAAGAACTCCACTAAATTGTTGTAAAATATTACGCATATTTTTTATTTAGTAGATTTATGAAGACAATTGGTAGTTTTTCTTGTACACGGAACTTGACTTGAAGGGAAAAAAAATCATTCAACTAATATTGTTTCCAATTTAAAACAAAAATTATGCCATTATGAATAACATGTTTTGAAGATATTCATAATATCATTAACACTGCAAATAATCACCACAAATCAACATAAAAACCATAACATAATTATCTACATAATTTAAAACCTAAACCGCAAAACCTGGACCAACATGTATCGTTGCATTAGTAAAACCCTGTTCTTTGCTTCAATCCAATCACATGAAGTTCAAGTATCTTAAAAATTATATGCTTCATGTATCATTATAGGTTTTTCTTTTCTTTCGTTTACTTTAAAAAAGAAGAAGAAGAAGAGGAAGAAAAAAAACCTAAATTATACCTCTCCTTTGTCAAGGCATGAGAATCACAATATCAACCTTCCGAAGTGGAAAAATATTGATAACTTCTTCTTCTACTACTACGACAACAACTACTACTGCTGCAACTCCCACTGTACAAATTTCGCCTTCTGTTTGTTTGTTCAGATGGGTTCGCAGTCAAGTTGTGTGCACATTCACGCCATGTAGCCGCGCCTGGTCGGCGCTTTCTGTTGCACCGAGAGTCACTGCACACGGCAACCGGACCGGACTCTTGTCACCCCATGCGCCGTTGTCGGAGTGGACAGCACCGCGATCGACTTGCGCAAAAAACCATTGCGGGGAAGTGGGTTTCGTCGGACTGAGCAGCAAATCGAGGGGGCATGGGAGATGCTGTGGAAAAGGTGGTTGCGGCGAATCTGATCCCCGAATCCGGCCTCGCATCGCGGTTGACTTCGACACTAATCCATGCTGTCCTTCGACGCTTTCACTGCCCCTTGAATCTGTGTGTTCCAGTATCATCCCACTGCAGGATACCAGCTTCCATGCACAATGCCCTTGTACTAGAAAAGTTCCCCCTTTCGAGTCGGAGATCTTGGTCACAACATCGTGAAACTAGGGCTCTACTGCAGATGTTGCATGATGCGAATTTGGTGGTACGTACCAGCCACGTATACTTGTTGGATATTAGCACATACCATGGTGGCGGTGGCACTGTTGTGGAGAGGTTTCCGATTCTCGTCGCACGTAGACATGGTATATACGAAGTTGGAGATGCCGAGAATGCGGAGTTGGTGCTCTGATCTGGCTCCCTCGTCGCCGGATATTGTTCGGAGGCGTGGTGGTTTCTGGCATCTTCGGAGATTAGATCTCGCTCCTGCTTCAGTATGTCCCTGATGTCGAAACCAGGATCGAAATAACTTATATGTTTGTATAATAGTTGCTCATCTTCTTCAAAATCAACGATGACATCAGTTGCGCCATGGCAACAGTGGCTGGACCGTAACTCAACGAATGTGTACAAAGCCCACGGTACTGCTTTGATGTGTGCACGACATGCCCAGCTTCAGCTTCTTTCTACTTGTACAAGACGAGTACATGGCGTTTACTAAAGAGATTCATTTCAGTCTTCGAATCTAACTTTTCAAAATAAAGTTAGTGCCAGTAATCCATCAACACTTGCATTACAGCTGTATTATAATGTTTGTTAAGACATGAACATAGTAGAAGTCACTGTTTCAAGTGGTTCACTCAAATTTGGGCGAGGGATAGATGAAGTCAAGTTGTTGTGGTCATTGAAATGTTCACTGTGCAGTAGGGAATTCAGGAACAAAAAGGATATTGCTTTGAATCTTTCAAGAATTGCACATCAATCCGTGCGACTTTGGTTTTTTCATCTATGTAGGACTGTAAAAAAACAAAAAAAAAAAAAAAAAAAAAAAAAAAAATGACCTAATGCACAAGAACACCAAAAAAAACAATGAAAAATGAATAATGAAAAAAATCACGTTCATGCTGAGCATCTTGCAGGGTTGGATGTTTGCATTCACTTCTTAACAAACCTGCCAGCGTTCATTACTCATTGAGCTGAATACATCCAAAGATCAACAAATATATTTGAAATGTCGTTGCATTATCGTGGAAGTATGAAAAATGATTCATGTAATAGCTGACATTCTGAATCAAGTATAAGTGAGAATGAAATATGTGTGTGTATGTGTGTGTCAACATATCCTTTAGCCTGTGATTTTCAACCATTTATGAAAATCACTCTCTCAAGTCATTGAGTAATTGTACTTTTGATACTGAACCACTTCATCAAATACAATGCATTTTTCACTCTAATTTTGTATCTAACAAAGGAAACTAGATTATGAGATGTGTTTTTGTTTAAATGCTAAATGGATGTCAATGCTTCTCGATCCAATATAAATATGAATACATCAATATTACACAAACACAAATAAACCAATTATATAATCCTAAAATAAAAAAGTAATTTCTAATTACTTGTATTTTTTAAGTGAAACTACCTTATTCCAAAGAAAGTCAATGCTTTCTGTTCATGTCTAGTGGAGAAGTAAAGCAGCATGTAAATATTCCATTTTTTGACCATATTAGTTTAGTGATTTAAAAATATTAATTAAATGTAAATAAATTAAAGAAACAAGGGAACAAATATCTTTATTATTCTACATGTATATATATAATACTGTGCTTGTATCACAAATAATATTTTCAACATACTGAACAGCAAATAAGCAATGCCCGTCAACTTAAATAATATAATCTTAACAAGCTGTCTGAGGTTATTATTTCTCATTTCTCTAAACAAATAATACAAATGGTAACTTCTGTAAACAAACCAAAGTTGCTTTTGTCGATACGAACACAGAGACCTCAGAAACCAAACTATATTTCAATAGAAGAAACATTTAACTTTTAAATTAAGCAGTAGCTTCTATTATTTACTTAGTTCGTTAAGTGAAATGTTATCTGATTACACAAACGGATCTTCAATACCCACCATGCGTTCCTCTCCAAACCCTAATTTAGGTTCCCCAAACCCCAGTTACAAGCATGGGCGTTGATTGGTGGGAACACAGTTCGATTCGAGGCAGACAAGGAGTTCCCACGTTCCCACGTTCCCAACTTAGACAAGCTCCACGTCGGATCTCCAGAGGTTACACTCAGTCAACGCGAGAGCCTCCACCACAACATTTGGATGAATACAATATCCATATTTGTTTCATTTGTCGTTCTTAGATGGCCCCAGTATCCTGTGCCAGTCCCCTATATAAAGCCTCAAACGAGGGGGTGCGAGAAAATCTCGGGTCCGGCCACGTGAGCAGGCACGGGATATGGAGGTATATTCTCTTTATGCAAAATGGGAGACCCGTGATTCTAAAAATGGGCGGGACGATGTGGACACGCTAGGCGGAGAAGAAGTCCAACGGAATGGATGAATGATGCGGAAGGCCACGAACGCCACGTCGGCCAATGGCTCCACGATATGGTGCCTACGTGGATCCTTTGGGTGAGAATCGTCTCATGACGTGGACTGGAAAAGGATGCGAGCAGACAATATTTCCGCGAAGGCGGGGGGACAGGACCTGCACAGACTCCTCCCCAATCGTGGCCCGAATTATATACTAATACACAAATACTTTAGAACACGGCTTCTATAGAGGGGCACCCAATTTGGAACTGAATCCTTAGATCATATTTATGCCTCCCTATGAATAAATTAGGGGAATCCCCATTTCACTGATTTAGACAAGAACGAACACGAAAAAGAAGGTGATCTCTTATAGAAATTTTGGATATGCCGCAGAAGGGAAGGTCGTTGGATCCATGATTGTTCACCAATATTTTTTTGGGGGATAAGGGTTAGTCTTGGAATACTCGTTTCGCATATTCAAATTCACTTTTTTGATGTCGTCCTCCATTGGTCAATTGATGGTAAGAGTGTGCAGCTTTGGGGGTATGACGTGGAAAATGAGTACGAACTCCCACCCATATTAAAAAAACTCCAAGCTCAGTGAGGCGAGAAAGAGAAAGAGTTTCTCCATTCTAATTCTGAACCTTTGATAAACGTGTATTGTTTTGTCTGTATTATTGATTCATTTGTATATTACTCGCATTCTTTTGGATACCCTATTTGGACATGGTTGTGAACGTTAGAAGTGCTTGTCGACAGTTTTTGATTTTGAATTTTTTGACTTGAAGCTTCCTTGGACATTCATTCATTGGTTTTAATAGTAATAGCAATTGGACCAAATATTTTGGTGTTCGAGTTAATAGCACTCTGGTAATTTTGGAATTTAATATGAAATCTAAACTCCAGGCTTAGAATTTTAATGAACCGGATACCATTTTATTAGTTCACCACATAGATTCTAATTTCCATGTACAATTTCTGCTACAATAATCTAAAGACT